CTTAGGCAGCTCGGACACCTGGAGTGGCCTGAGCTACAGATCGGACGTACTGGCCAAAAAGATAGGCCAGTGTGCTGTATACATCGCGAGGCATTGCTCCGACTATGCTAGATCGTCGGGAGGCTGGGTCTACTTTGGAGACCTGGTGCAGAAACTAAAAGACGACGGTTTTACCTTCCAATCGTGCGCCCTGGCCGCACACAGCTTAGCTGCGTTGCCGCCAGGGATGGTCGAAGTTTTAGGAACCTTTCCCAATGATAGTCCCAAGATTGTTGAAACACAAATCTACGCCATGTGGGAGCGACACAAGAGGGGCTCATTGCAAGAAGAAGACGGAAGGGAGATGCCAATACCCATACTCCTAGGGCATGCCAGGGACATTCAACGTTCGCTGCTTCAATTGAAAGAATGTACGTTCCGTATGACCCTGGCCAAGTCAGGAGTCACGGCTCTCTTCTTCATATCACAGACTTACACGCGTTTTCGGAATCTACGAGTGGAAGTGTTCGCTTCCCGAAGAGCGACTCTGGGCTTTGCCATGACGCAGATTATGAATTGTTGCGATTGCTTCCGCCACACAATAGCCCAACAATGCCTGATCCCTCACATATTTTCTCCGCGGCTGAACCAGCGGAGATATGGGCAGCCACTCGCTGCGAGAACTCTAGTACCCTTGAATAACCCTGCTCAGGGAGGGGGGCCGCCATCGGTGGGGACTTGGCCCGCAGATGAAACCCGCCACCTATGGCCGCATCTCCCCAATCACCATGACCTATGGGATCTTGTTGTTGTTTGTACCAGCAGAGTGCTCACTCGCTTCTCGCGCAGAGTTTGCCCAGATGGGACCCTAGTGTCTCGAGAAGTACCGAGATGCACTGACATCGACAAAGCCGTCTCCCTTGTGAGACAGGCAAATAAGATGCGCTGGACGGCACTCTTCAATCGCGAGTTGTCTTCATACGAGGTCACCTTCGACAATGAGTCGATTATTGCCTGGATTCATACAGACGAGAGAATAATCATTGATTGGAACCACAGGCCAAGATTGTCGACCGCGGTCCAGGATCGAATAATATCCATCTCTTGGGATGATGACGGGAGGTTCCTGTGTGGCCGGTACCACTGGGTGAGGACAGGTTTTGCCAACTGCCCTGTCTGCAATTGTCCTGTCAAATACAAATACAGGGTCACGCACGATTACATGGCCCAGACATGGAACCGCAAAATTACCCCTCAGTCCCTAGAGGCACATGGCCTCTTCACAGCGGTGGATCATGAAGAGGGTCTATCATGGAATCGCCACGAATATATACAGGCGCGTATAGAGAGGCAAGGGAGAGCTTCTGCCAATGTCACGAAAAACGTCAGCAACAACAATCAGCAGGAGCGAAGATGGGCCTCTGGACAATTTGCTACAATGGCGGCCGCTGGCACGATATTTGGCAATAGCCAGCCCGGCAATTTTCCAGCTTGGGCCCCAGAAAACGTCGAGGCTCAGCCTCCGGCGCGTCATGCTCCTTTCTTCCAATATTTGAAGCCTTTGGTCAAAAGTTTTATATCGTGGCTTGAATATTCAGCCAGAAACGTAAATAGGCAAGCCCCGCCCATCAATACCTGGCGGCCGAGATTGTGGAAAACTAAGTTTGACCAATGCGATCGCCCGAGATCCTGCCCAGCCCTTGAGGCCTTTCATTGGCCTGATGAAGAGGATGACTTAGTCACTCCTCGGATCGGCTGGGAGAGGTGGTTCGCCAACATGACTAGAACCAATGTCTTTGTTCCGACACTTGCTACAATAGATGGCGCGGTAAATTTTGGTAGACTTTGGTTTGGTGCGTTGGATGAGGGCAGTGGGAACAACGCCGAAAACAACGACCCTCCCGCGCGGTTACCAGTCGCCTGGGAGAACAATTTTAGAGCGAGGCCGACTCGCAGTTCTCAGTCTGTTTCAAGACGGGTTAGCATGTGTCGGGACCATCGTCTTATTATCCCAGTGTTGCGGCATGCCACCGGCGAAGCCGCGATGGCACGCGAACAGTCGCAAATGGATCTGGATCTCGCAGCAATCGGCGGGCCTAAGGCCGCGCTGATAACTGACGGAAACATCACTCTTGGACACGTATATTTTCACCACGATGATCCTTTGATCAAAATATGATTGTTCGGGAGAGAAGTTCGGGAAATTGCCGCCCATTACGTAGTTGAACATACATGAACAAACCCTACTAACCCCGGCAGCGTTACCCTGACAGGAACGACAGAACACGTGATCCCGGAGATCATTCAGACCATAGTACATGACAATTGGTTGGCACCAGTACAGCAAATGGAATTGGGCCTTCGGCCCGTGAGGATTTTTGCAATTGTTCGCGAAATAATCAGCTTCTTCATATCGGAGGATCACTTTATTGGTTGCCCGGGGCGGATCATTCGCCCCGAAATGGCAAGCGCGGAAAATATTGCTTCGAAAAGAAGGACTGACGAGTACGCCTTGGACTGCCGTATCCGCGCGGCTGTTAAAACGGACGACATAATAGAGAGAAGGGCCCACAAAATGGGCAGGAAAGTGCAGAATGATGTCCGTTGCCACGGTGCTCTTATACAGGAAGCCATTTGTTGGCTCCATGACAAATATCCTGACCCTGGTGCTGAACTCCAGGACAAAGATTATGGACCCTTTCGTGCTGCGCGCGGAAAATATGGCGTCGCTGCCGCAACTGCTGCCAGGAGTATACTACAATTCATGAACGATCGTAGGAATAACAATCCAGACCAGCCGAGATCGCGGGGCCACGGGCGCCGGCTGGACCGAAGACTAGACCTTTATCGCGCCCTCCGCCTCTTAGACCTGGCGTCTCAGACGCTCGGGTGCCCGAGGAAGCCACCGAATCCCCGCGTTCAGTCGCCGGCTCAGCCGTGGCGACCAGGGAGACATACCCTCGACATCCCAACGTGAGGGATCGGTCGGATTCACGACGCGGGCGCGATGGGGCCATGGGTGCTGCCGCCGGCGCGGTCATGGGTGCTGCCGCCGGCGCTGCCGTGGATGCTGCCGCCGGCGCGGCCATGGATGCCGCCGCAGGCGCGGCCGCGGACGCTGCCAGCAGCGCTGCGGACAACAGCTACGAGTGCGACCCGTCCAGGTCCTACCCGCGGTACGTGAACGGAACCCACGCCGGGTACTACGTCCATCGGAACAAGATCACGTGGCTTACCGACGCCGAGTGGTACACTCTGAATTACTGGCACGTGCTATCAACGCACGAGCACGGATTGCGATTCCCGCCAAGAGGGGCAGCATCGATGAGCGACACTGAAAATGGAAGAGGGCGGTCCCGCACGCCTCGTGGCGTGGAGGCACGGACGGGGGGATCGGCATCGTCAAACCCGCCGCCCCCGGCGCCGCCCAGAGAAGAGGACGAGCCCGACCCGTGGCAGGACCTGAACTGAGTTTCGCCCGCGTGACTCAGTCGCGGCAGGCGCATGCAAGGCAATTTTATCCACGCGCGGAACGCGCGTTGGATGCGGACACCTCTGCTGGTCGGCTACGCCGGTCCAGCGGAGAGAATTTATTTATCATAATGGTGGGAAACGTCGAGCCTCTTCGGCCCTTGGCCCCCTGGCAGCCACCGTTGAGCTGTAAAAGGCTTTTTCGGGTTGGCTCCGGTGGTTGTGCAAATGCACAGGCCGGGGGTGCTGTGGCTGGATGGGCTCTGCGCGGCCCGCCGCGGGGGGAGTAAATAAGCTCCTCTCCGCCTCATATTAAATTGAGACATAATTTAGTTTGCATGCGTCGCACTGTCCGCTGGAACTAGCAGCTGCGTTCCGCAGCCGCATGACTGCTCGAACAAGCCAACTTTGGCTTGCAGGAGAGAAAAGGAGCGCGCCAGCCCTCGGCCGTCGTGCGTCGTCGGTCGTAGGCCAGCCGGCCTCCTCCCTTCGCATTCATGATAGAGTAGTCTTGCTTAACGGATAGGATACTTGTCTTATCAATGTCTCATCCCGACCCCTCTCTCCCTGAGCAGAGTGAACATGAGATCATAATTCCTTTGTCATCTTACCCCGATTCTCAGAGGAAAGACTCGAACCGTAACGACGGGCGGGTCGGGTCGGGCGGGCGGGCCCTAGCGGGCGGGTCGGGTCGGGTAGTTTCGCCGACGGCGGCTGGTTTCGCCGACGGAGCTTGCTTCGCCAGGCGGCGAAACCAGCTGGGCGAAACCAGCGGTCGCTGGGCCGGGCAGGCCCAGGCCGCACCCAGGCAGCCATCGCCTTGAGAAGGGGCCCTCATGACGGGCCCCAGGGCTGTGAGACAAGACAGTTCAGGATGATAATGAAAAAGACAGCCTTGGGCCAGGTTCGGGACATCTTTGCCTCGAATACATCAAGGCATCGGATGTATGGCGATGGGGTCGGAAGGTCGGAGGATCGCGCCGCAGCGCTGATGCATCGGCGGTGCTGGGCGCGATCTGTTGCCCGAGTTCCACCATCCCGGCGTCGCAAGTGCATCGACGATGGGGTACGATCCCCGGACCCCAGCATCTCTGGCCCCAGTTCGGCGGCATCCAGCCGGGGAGGGACGAGGAGGGTCGCTCATCGAAGTTTCCATGGGTGAGGAGGTGCATGGGCGGGGAAGCATGTGGAGACCTCCTGGGACCAAGACCTCCAGCGACGCGAACGGTTGAATCCCTGCCCACATTTCGAGCCTTGGGACGCCGATCTTGGGCCCGGGGTCTTATAGAACACCCGGGGCGAAAAACACGTCCTGGGGAAGGATTCGAGAGTTCCTGGGGTCTCTACTGGAATGTCCACGACGTCGGAGGTCTGGGAACCCTGCTTTCCTCATCTCCTCATCGTCTTCCTCCTCGTTTTTGTTCCTTGCTCTGGGGGCTCTCGGCGGCGGCGCCACAGCCAGGCGCAGATCGGAACACAGTTAACAATGACTTTGCGTCTCCCTAAGGTCAGTTCTTTCCCTCTCGTCGGATTGCCTGGCCTTCGTGGAGCAGCGATACGATACTATGTTATTTGGGCCTAGTTCCACTCTCAGTGTTACAGCGCCTGACCGAAGGTGTTGCGCGACATGTCTGACCGTACAGTTTGCATGAACCTTTTGACGTACAGTTGCACGAATTCAACGTGTGTTAGTGGCGGGAAGGCGGGAGAGAGAGAGAGAGAGAGAGAGAGAGAAACACGAATAGAGAGAGAGAGAGAGAGAGACAGGCGCAACATTTGTCAAGCTATACAACGAGCCCGCCGCAGGCGCCAATTTTTTGGTTAAGACAATGTAGGTGTGTCGCGGGTTGGGTCGCAGGTGGGTCGCGGGCGGGTCGACTGTCGGTCGCGGGTGGGTCGCGGGCAGGTCGCGGGTGGGTACCTCGGGTGGGTCGCGAGGTGGGCCGCGGGTGGGTCGCGGGTGGGTCGCGAGCGGGTCGCGGGGTGGGTCGCGGGGTGGGTCGCAGGTGGGTCGCGGTTGGGTCGCGGGGTGGGTCGCGGGTGGGTCGCGGGTGGGTCGCAAGGTGGGTCGCGGGTGGGTCGCGGGCCGGGTCGCGGGGGGGACGACAACAACAACAGCAACAACAACATCAAGCAGAATCCTCACCACGGATCCGCACTTCAGCCACGCACCCAGGGACAATGAATGACCGTTCAGCCCCCACCTCACTCAGACAATAACCATCGTAAACATATTAACATTGATAAAAGTACTTTTAATCATAAGAACCACAACGACTCTGTTAATACGAATAATAGAGAAGAATAATGTTATAGCAATAGCGATGATGTTAAGAACAACAACGAGTACACTAATCATGATAAGTTGGGGAAGTTGAGGGAATTTCTGGAGTTCGACGACCGTGGCTTCGAGGAAGGCGAGGAAGAAGAAACTTGACGAAGTGCCGTCTGGTTCTGCCGACGCTCACCACCAAGAGGGATCGGAGGCGAGCAGTTCGGCGTCGCTGACGTCACCGCCCAGCCTGCCTCCAGCAGCTCTGGCCAGGAAGGCAGGTGGCCCCCCAAACCAGCCCTGCACGCCAGTCCTTTCCTGGGCTGGGCCTTCCGGCAGCGCTGGCAGTGGCGGCGGGGGCAGCGCTGGGCAGCGCTGGGCAGTGCCACGGGGTCGCGGAGGGAAGGAGCTGCGGAGGATGACCAAGAGGCTGCAGCTGGCAGATACAGGTCCCGAGGCCCACAGGGGCCCAGCTGGGCTAGGAGGCGTGAGGGTGCGTGCGGACGGCGGGAAAGGCTGCATCTGGCGCCAGAGCTAGGCCATCAGTTGCAGTCGGCCGGGCCCTTCCCCTTCAGCACGAGGTGTGGAGTTTTTTTGGCAAGGCAGCGGAACCTGACAGGGCCAAGGGGCTCAAGCAGCAGTGCCCTGGACCGCTCCCGCCCTCTGGATGCCTCCACTGCTGGACAGAAGAAGACATGGCAGTACCTCAGCAAGTTAATGGATGGCCGCGACCCGTATGTGAGTGGTCGTCCGACGTGAGGTGCTACCTGGGGAAGTGACTGGCTGATCAACGTGACTTGCGACTTGCGGTGTGGCCAGGGGGCTGTCCCCTGGGGCCGCTCGACCTGTGCAGTTGGGCTGATGCGGCGTCGATAGGCGGTTGGGTTAGAGGCTTCTCCTATGGCGCCGTCGGTGCCTCTCGCTGCGGAGAGAGGAGAAAACAAATCAATCAACACAAAAACATAGAGAGAGAGAGAGACTGAACCACAACGATGCACACAAGGAGGGTGATGGAGAAGTGCATGGAAGGAGGAAAAGGCAGGGGCAGACGGAAAGGACGTGGGCGAGGGGGGGGGGCAACACGAGAGAGATAGAGAGAGAGAGAGATAGAGGGGATAACCATAGAGAAAGAGAGATAAAGAGAGAGAGAGAGAGAGATAGAGAATGATCATTCCTACATCGAGAGCCACCAAACAAGCTATTGCCAGGGGAGGGCGAGGCTGCAGATGAGTAGGGAAGGGGGAAAGATGCGGATAAGGATGATGATGATGATGATGATGATGACGATGACGACGATGATGATGATGATGATGATGATGATGATGATGATGATGATGATGATGGTGGTGGTGGTGGTGGTGGTGGTGGTGATGATGATGATGATGATGATGATGATGATGATGATGATGATGATAATAAGGAAGATGAGGAGGCGGAGGAGGAGGAGGAGGAGGAGGAGGAGGAGCAAAAGGTTGGGGAGGAAGGGAATGTCTTTCTGAGTTGGGCGTCGCCGTGCGCTGGAGCCTGGGGCCGGCGGGATTGTTTTCGACCCCACAGGGCCCACGGTGCGCCCTACCGAAGTGGGGGCCGTGCGCCAGGGAGGCGGGTTGTCGCACAACGCGAGGGGGCTTGGAGGAACGAAACAATATCCAGTTCTAGGCGACATATTTTCGTTCACAGAAGGCGCGTTCGCCCACTCGGGCCCACGAGGCCCACACGGGTCGGGGTCCAGCTCGAGAAGTGGCGCAGACAGATGAGTTCGAGGTTCGCGGCCGCGATTGTTCACGACGCTGGTTCTTTCGCGGCGCCAGATCATCTCGGGTTCTGGAGGGGGGGAAGGGCGGGAGACGTGCGGCGACGGCGCGCGAGCAGTGGAGGGTTGTTCGGCGACGCGGCCCGTGCCGAGGCGCCGAAAAGGACCCTGCAGCGCCGTTATCCTCGTCGTCAGGCCGGCTATCGCAACCTTGCTTTGCCCCGCGATGCGATGCAAGGGAGCAGAGGCTGGCTGCTCGGCGGCGCAGCCCTTCCCTTCCCCTCCATTCCTCATCCCTTTTCCAGGGCCGTCCGCTGCCGAGGTCCCGACGTGGACGCCATGGCGCCGCTGCTCCCTGTCGCCCCGAGACACTCCGCCACCCCGGGGTGCCCTCGTCGTGCAGCGCCCACCTTGGGGGCAGGGCAAGGCACTCCCCAGTGGGCATCCCTGGTCGGCACGAGATTGGAATGTACCTTCTCCGCCCTCGGCACCATCTCCAGATATCCGACGTGCCGTTTTTTTTCCGAGCCGACAGCCCCAGCTCTGAACCCCTTCCCGCGGGCTGGCCGTCTTTGGATTGGCCCGTGGCGTGGAAATGAGCTCCGGGTGCAAACATCCGCGTCGCAATCTGTCCGAATCGCCGAAGAGTGTGTCCCCCCTTCCCGTGACCACCTCATCCCTCACATTTGCCCACTGGGGTGCAAGAGTTCGCTCCTCGCGCCAGCTCGTGCAGCGACGCCCATTTTCAGGTGCAAGTCCAGATGATCCTCCTTCCTCCCGCTTAATGGATCTCCCTCCCTCGTCCCTCGTCCCCCTGGATCTCCCTCCTTCCTCCCGCATAATGTCATTGCCCATCCCACGTGCCTCCTTCCCTCTTCTCTCACTCCTTTCTTCCTTGCCCCTCCCTCCCTTCATCCTGGATGCCATCCCTCTCCTTCCTCCTCTCCCTCCTCCGCTGGGCGTCGCTCGGAGGTGAGGATTTCGTGCCTTTTGCAGGCTTCTTCACGGCTCCGTTCGCTCCATTGGCCGCTTTATGGAGGTGTGTGGGACGCAGCTCCACCCCGCAACCCCCGCAAAACAATACAACTTTCACACCAGATGCGCAAAAGAACCGTCCGAGCGACAGCACGCCCGTCGGTTGACGGAAGATGCCCGGCTTCTGGCTTCTGGGTGCGTTTGATTCGTTCGGTTTCTCCCGTCCGAGCGATCGGAGGACTTCTCTTCCGGTCGGTACCCGTATCCTTTGCGGCAGGCGTGCCCCCGGTTCGTTGGTTGCTCGCTTTCGTGCGGCAGACATACGGCGTGTTTTTTTTTTTAATCCAGGTGTTTTTTGTCATTTTGGCCTTCGGTGCCGTCCGTCTTCGGGTCTGGGGCCATCGAAAACGAATCCGTGACGAAACGCTGTCCTTGACCCTCGAGAGGGGGGGGGCAGGAGACTTGGAAACAGAGAGAGAGAGAGAGAGACGACCCGAGGTTCTGATTTCGACGACCGAGACCCTCGAGCGTCCGACCCCGCTTCCCTCGGGCCCCTCCCCTGGGGCAGCGGGAGGCCCTTGACCTCCTCGGCGGGCTGCTGCCGGCGCCCCCGCCCGCGCAGCAGCCGCGGGAGCAGCACCAGGCGCCCGCCCAGCGCACGGGGGCCTGGGCGCGCGCACGGCATCCGCGGTCGCTCCGCCCTGGAGGCCACAGGAGTTTGCAGGCCAGAGCTTTGCGAGACGCGGCCGGAGAAGGCCTGGGGGGCGCGGCCATGGTCGCGTTCCGCGGTCCAGGCCAGAGCGCGCCCTTCTCCAAGGTGGCGGCGCGAGGGTGCGAGGATCATCGCGCACGCGTGTCGCGATGGACGAAATTAGGGGCGTAGAATCCAGGACTTTGGAACATCTAGCTGGAGAAAACGAAGAATGGAAAACGTTTTTGCCCATGGCCGCGGCTTTCTTGAACAGCTGGGAGACCGACCCCAGCCCCCACAATTGTTGATTTTAGATTTCAACATGTTACAAGTACGGCGAACGTGCGTAATCGCAGGCGCCCTGTAAGCGAGGCCGTTGCCGCTTGCCCCGAGACCCGACTTACGGAGGACAAGTATTGGACACAAATCACAGAATCCACGAATCCCATGATCCACCCTGGTAGGTAGCCCAACGCGAGCAATGGCCCCAACCGCGAGCGCAGTCGCTTTGTGGCACCATACAAAGCCGATAATCTAGGCTTCTTCAAAAACGTAGATGCAGGACCATGTTTGTCGATGTTGCGCGATATCGGCATTGTGATTGGAAGACGTAGTGCTGACGTGCCAGCTGTCGTTGGCGAACAAACGTCAGGTGCGGGATTTGATTCAGAGTCCGACGTGGCTGAGAAAATGTTGTGGCCACGGCCGCCTATTAAGGTCGTTGCCAGACCGATGGGTTCGCCCGGCCGGGAACCAGGCGGCCGCCGCTCCGCGGCGAAACGCGTCCAAAATGCCACTTCAGTCACCATATTCTTTTGTTTAAACTCATCTGGAAAAATGCATGATTTAGAATACTGTTCGAACTTTTGCGCGGATGCCTTGCATGCGGTTGACGGGGAGGCCCAAGGTGCTGGTTCAACCAGTGGCGTGGAGCACTCCGACACGCCCTCGGCCAACGCTGCTGTCGTGCGCTCGGCCACCAAATCGGAGGCCGCCGCAAAACAGAAACACTGAAAGGATTGAGAGCCGAGTGGGATCGACTCACAGCTACCTGCAGTTGAGGCGAGAAAGGATGTCCAGGATGACAGTGGTGCAGTATGAAAGGGGCATGGCACATCTGCACATGTTGGCCGCCTTTTCGCCATGGCCACAGAGGCGGATTCGGGATTCCAAAGGGCCACAAAGACCGCAAGTTCAAGGAACGAGGTGTTTCTGACGGATCGGATGTCAGGGACCAAAATTCGAACGTCGCTCTCTTCCAGTAACTTTCCAGTAGTCCTGCCAAGGCGAAGGCCAACATAATGGCTGATACGTTCTGGTTAGTGGAGACTCACGAAGTACAATAAACGGACGCAGAACAGCGACGCAAGGGCGTGGTCGCGGTCGGTTTTGGCCGCGCGCGCCCACTGGCGCGCGAGGAGAGCCCCCTCGCGCGTCACCAGCCACTCTCTCGTGGCTGGTGCAGAGCACAGCGCCAGGCGCAGCAGAAAGTGCCCCACCACGTCAGCCAAGGGGTCCACAAGTTGGACCGCGGCGACCACCTCGTCGGGGTTGCCTCTCCGATGTCGAGCCGCTGCAAGAACCGAAGCCACTCCCAGGCGTTCCCAGGCGCTTCCAGGCGCTCCCAGGCGCTCCCAGGCGGTCCAGAAGCGCTCCCAGGCGCATCGTTCCCAAAGGGTTTGTAAATTGCAGCCCTTGGCGGGCCTGCCATTCGTATCCCGAAAAGAAATGGTTATTGATCGCTTGCGTAGATGACTTCAAAATGTCGCGTCCTTTCAAACATGCGGAGGAAGGCTGGCGGATGATGCGGGAACCAGCCCTAGGATGTCAGAAAATGAGAAGAGACTGATCAGGGGGAATGGCAGCGCTTTTCGCATGGTACGTCTGTCATTAATTTGCATTCCGTCGTCGGGCGACGCGCGCCGTCGCCGTCGAGCCCCCAGCGCGGGGGGGCCACAGGGCGGGCGGTCGGCGCGCGCAGTTGCGTTGAAGAGCCAGATGCACCTCATCATCGCCTCTGCGCGATGGCGGAGGATGTTTTGCGGGCGGCCTTTGGCGCGATGCCGAGATTGCGTTCGCTGGGCCAGCTGGCTACGATCATGGGCGCGCGCCCAAGGGCGCCGGGCCGCAGCGTTGTCGCGCGGGCCCATGCAACATTGTCTTCTTGGAGGCGCGTCTGCGCGCGTGGACTCCTGCCGCGCTTCGCGCCGCGAATACTTGGACTTTGCTGCGCCATTCCATCGGGCAGGGCGACGGGCTATAGATGGGGGCCGCTGCGTCGGATGGCAGGGGGGGAGTCTGAAATTGAACAAATCCGCGTTGCTCTGTTTGCGCGGGCGCCCGGCGTGGATTCCGCCGCGGATCCAGGGCGCGCTGAGCTTTCTCGTCTGTTTCCCAGCCACCTAGAGCTCGATTGCATGTGGGATTTGTCATTCGCGAAGGGGTAATGCGTTGATTTCTTGCGCTCCAAGCTCGCGAAGCTTCGCCGCGGGAATTGCAGGGGGAGCAGAGCGACGCGCAGTTTGCCGCAGAACCACCTGGCGCCCGTCGGCCGAGATGGAGTTCAGCGGCGCGCGGGGCCATCGAAACATTTCACGCAGAGGGCAGCGCCAGCGCGCGCTGGCTCGACGATTCGCTCGCTTGCCGAGCTCGCGCGTCTGAAGCGCCATATGTGGCCTCCCCCGTGGCCGGCTCAAGAAGCGGCCCCCAGGGGCCGCGTTCGGCGCAGACGACGGCGGCTCCCGATGCTTGCGCTTCAGCTACTAGCATGGGAGTTGCTGACCCGCCCCCGCCCCCCGCGGTGACCGCTGCTTCCGTCGGCGCTACCGCGGCGACATCGGACGCAGCATTGGGGCGGGGAAGGAAGGTCTTCGAGGATCTGGCCAGACAGTTCAAGGCACCTCCTCCCGCTATTCGCTCGGGCGCCGGCAATGCACCTCGCCCGCCAACTCCGCCGCCAGCGAACCCGCCAGCGACGGCGAATGCTGAAGCGCCCAGAGGAGAGCCAGCACCGACACGGCCCGTCGCTGGTTCAACTGGGGGCGTCGCTCTGGCGCGCGCAGGGGGAGAATGGGTCAACCGACGTGCGAGCGTTGAAGATAACCCAGATGGCAAGAGGGAAACGCGCGCGGTCGCCCCTCTCTCAGTCGGGCAGGTAGAGAACGGCGCCGTGGAAAACGCCCCTGGCCCCAGTTCAGAAGGAGTCGGAGGGGCTGTTTCGGAAACGGGGCCAATGTCGAGATCGCAAGAGGCCCGGCCTGCGGCGTCGGATCAAGCACTCGGCTCGCCCGCGGCGATGCCGAGAGCGACGGGCGCCCGAGATCTTGGAGTCGAGCCCCGGATCTCAGATGGAACGTCGCTGTTCCCACGGATCACAGAGCTGCCTGGCAGATGCAGTTTCTGACGCGCCGTTGTGCGATGCTGATTGCGGGGGCACTGCCGTGCCCGACAGCGCCGACTACGTCCTCAACGCAGCGATTCACGACGAACGCCGCGCGCGCGAACTCCTTCACATTTGATAACGACAAAGGAGATGGAGAAGTTGAAACATGCTCGTCAAATTCGGCAAGAAATTCCCAGGGCAACGGGCGCGAATTTCGAGGTGTCGGCATCGGGAAGCACTTCGTTTTCAGGGGGCAGCCAATGTTTCGCCCCGCGCTCAAAGTGGCGAGGGAGATGCCGACGCGGGGGCGCCGGCGCCTGACGTCGTCTAGGGCTCAGCCTCTGGCGAGCGGAAGGCATTTGACGCCGCGGGGCCCGCCATGTAAATCCATCTATGTTTATTTAGTGCATCTGCTTATTCAGTAGTCGGCCTTAAATTTAGCGTCGACGCTAACATTTAGCGACGATCGTCGCTAAATCTGTAGCGACGCGTACATCTCAATGACGACGACGGCGCGATGTTCCCCCATGAGGAGGCGCACTTCTCCTGCGATGGGATCTTTTATTCGCGCGCGGAGGAGGCCGCGCCTCCTGCGGCGAGCCACATGCTGCATGCGCGAGCGGTCTTGGCGTGTGGAGGGGGCGTCGCCCCCTCCAGGGCGTCGCGTCGATCTCGCAGGGGCGGAAGTTGACTTCTTGTCATGGAGGCGAAGAACGAGGAGGCCGCGCCTCCTGCACGGGGGTGGGGGGAGGAATGGGGCGGGGCGAGCATGCGGACGTGGGGGCCGCGCCTCCTAGGAGCGACGACGGCGGCGCATCCAACCTTCCCATCGCCGCCGCAGTCTGCTATCGAGAGGCCGCGGCAACGGCCCCCCCCCACCTCGGCGCGGGGCCGCTCGCATGGCGCCGGGGCGTGCGACAGTGGGGACCGCCCAGGAGGATTTGAACGGGATCATCCGCAAGTGGCAGGGCGAGATCCCGGGAGTCCACTGCGCGGGCAGCAACGAGGACATCGCGCGCAAGAGCGTGAAATTCCTGGCGAGCGTGAATGGGCGGACGGCGAGGTTGTCCGCGAAGGACCTCCAGAAGGGTCTGAAGGAGGTGCTCGGGGAGGCGGACCCTGCGTCCTCGGTGTGGGCAAAAATGACGGTGGAGACGCTGTCGGGGTGCAACCAGAGGATCGGCAACAAGGAGTTGCAGCGCCTCCCTCCCGCGGTGCAGACGGTGATCCACGCCAGGAAGGCGGAAGCCGTGGGCGGCGGACAGCACTCGCCCGCCTCGCCGCCGCCGAGCTCAGCAAAGCTTCGCGGCAGCCCAGGGGCGGCGTCGGCCGCCTCGGGCGGCGCCGAGTCCAGCGCAGCGGGCCAGGGCGCGGCGATCCTGGCCCTATATGGCGCGAGGAACCCCCTGCGGAAGCGCAAGGGCGACGAGGGGGTGCACATCGCCCCGTCGCAGGGGACCGTGGCCAGCAGCCCGCCGAGCACGAGGAAGGCCCGCGCGGCGCTTGCGTTTCGCTTTGTACCATACATGAGAATGAGAGGGAGGCATGGAGAGACAGAGAGAGGGAGAGG